GTTGATTGCTACAGCAACCAACTGCACAGAGAATTAAGCAAATAACAGTCAGCGTAGAGTATAGAAGGTAACTGAGAAAGATGAAGGAGACTACTAGTAGAGCAGAAAGAAGACATTAACATAACAATCACCACGAGCAGTAAAAGGCAAGAAACTCAAAGAGATAATCTGGGCAAACAGTAGGAAATGGGTCACTGCAGCTGTGGCTGCTTTGGAGGCTGAGAGAGTGAAGGAAGTCAAGAGGAGGAAATTGAAGCAATCAAACAAGATGACAGTTAGGGCCCATATGGGCGTACTTGGGTATCATGGACAGAGTGAGAAGACCAGATTTTATAGGTGTTGTGTTGCATCACAGGAAGAATTACGAGATTATCGAGGAGGAAAGAGGGAACCTAATGAGAATTTGGTGGAATGTCATTAACCACACATGGTTTCTGTTACATTCTGCTCAAAACTTTACCTCTACTTCCCCTGAATTACTCTATGCTTATCTCAGAGAGGCAGAGGGGGGAGGGGAGAAGATCAGGTAGAATATGACTGAAAGTCAAAGAAAACAAGAGCAAATGAGGAATAGATGCCTTAGAACTTTCTCAAATCAGTGTACGTCTACTGCTTTTACTGATTGCTCTGAGTAGATGATTCCCTTGTTATTTAGGATAGGGCTTAATCCTAGATTACCTATAAATTTTTCCTCTCCCATCACCCATCTTCATTTATTTGCCCACATAGCACTGAAGTCCTTCCTGTCTACCATGATCTCCAAGATAATCAATTCCCAACCTCACCAGGTAGGTACCTCAGGAGCCCTATGTCCTCCCAAAACATCTTTTCCAGCTCCTTGTCGCTATCATCTGCAGAGATGCCTGACAGCAAAGCCGTCCTCCCTGTACAGCGTTAGCCATATTGTTCACTTTGAACAGTCATCCCTTTGGGAAGACAATCTTACAAGGCTATAAGGAGTCTCGTGTCTCTTTTCCTGGTAAATTTTTAGGAAACCTGACAAACCTGACTTCTGATACAACTGACCTATTTCTCAGCCATGTCTTTGGATGGCATCTGGGATATGTCAGCAATGCTAGAGGCTCTTCAGCAAAATCCAAGAGGAGGAGGCAAGTTGCACTTGGAGACAAATGAGAACTAGCCGCACCACATGTAATACACATGTTAACATGTATTATGTATGGCTACATTATATATATTATGCACAGTTAACATCTTCCACTTCCCTCTCTTGAACAATGAAAATGCCTCTAACACAATTCTGCTGCAGTCTTCTTAAACCCCCTGACAGCATCTAGAATAAGCAATGGTCAGCCTTTTTTCCTCTGGCTGGGGGTTGCAGCAGCCAGTGTGACATCTGGTAGATCCATGATGTCCGCCCTTCATGCTCATTTCTAACCCTCCCTAGTAGCAGCTCAGCTAGTGGGGGAGGAAAACCATTCACAGTCAAACCCAGAAAGCACTTAGTGAAAACAAATAAAGTTGCTAAGGAACCGTAAAGATAAACTCAAACACATAAAATCCAGGAAACAGAAAAGAATTCATATGCTCCTTTCAAACACACACACCACTCATTGCTCTCAGTGCTGTCTGTCACACAGAATCATAGAATCATTAAGGTTGGAAAAGATCTCTAAGACCGAGTTCAACCGTCAACCCAACAGCACCATGTCCACTAAACCTGAAGTGCCATATCTATACGTTTTTTGAATGCCTCCAGGGATGGTGACTCCACCACTTCCCTGGGCAGCCTGATCCAATACCTCACCACTCTTCGGTAAACAAGTTTTTCCGATCTAAACCTCCCCTGGTGCAACTTGAGTCCATTTCCTCTCATCCTATGCCTAGTGACTTGGGAGAAGAGACCAACACTCACTTCACTACAACCTCCTCTTCAGGTAGTTGTAGAGAGCAGTAAGGTCTCCTCTCAGACCCTTCTTCTCCAGACTAAACAATCTATTTCCTCAGCTGCTCCTCGTAAGACATGTTCTCCAGACCCTTCACCAGCTTCACCGCCCTTCTCTGAATGCACTCCAGCACAGAGCTAAGGCTGTGATTATACACACCCAGGACCGATTCCCAAAACTGTGGAAATCCTAAGAACTTAGAACATCGCACCACTCAACAATATCTACCTCTCTTCCTACTTGTTTTAATTATACTATGCATAAAAAGAGCCAAGTGAACTTAACAGGGAGACTACAAATTCCATGTACATCCTTAGTTAGCTATAATGATAGTAGCCTAGTTAATAGTAGCAATGAAGGTCCTGGCAGCACAGCTGGGCAACACCAGCTGACAAACCAAAGGCCCACAGAAGGCACAAAATTGAATCTTCCTCAACGTTGCCATCCTGCTAGCTAAGGACAGCCCGGACTCTGCTGCTGATTTGCAATTCCACCTCTGTTTTACCACACAGGCACAGCCTTGGGAGCCATGTTTTGCCCACAGGGATTTTCTTGAAACCAAATGTATTTCTTCCCTCAACCCATAAATAAACCTATCTCTAGTGCGCTGGGAGGTAAGAAGATGAAAGCCAGAGGAAAGGGGTGAACGTGCCAGTCATGCCACGCAGAACCTGGGGCTGTGTTTATGTGTTTTCAGAGCTTGGTGAACTCTGGAAGCAAAGGGCAATTGAGGCAAGGCAAGCGCCTTTCATCAGCTGCCCTTTGAGTGCTGCACACCCTGTTCCCCAAGCACACAGCTACATGGCAGCACTCGATGCATTTCCTTACGCTTTAAGAGACTCTGGAAAGTAAGCCCATGCCCCTAGAAAGGTTTACATTTAGCTCCCCCATCTCCATTCACCGTAAATCAGAACACAGCAGTTGCTTGCCATGCAGGGGTGCAGTTGGACGTGCCGCGTGTCTGAAAACACATTAAGTCTCCAGCCTCTCAGCTTAATGCTTCACAGCAAGGTTGAAATTTCTCCAAAATAAATTAGGTGAATTCAGTTGCTAATTTGGCTTCATCTAATCTCGTCATACAGAGATTAGAGGGGTTCATTTCTGCTGTGAAAAAAAAAAGAGCATTTCTACTTCCCGCTCAGTTTGCACCACTTTGAGGAGTACAAACTATTTATTAGAACTGGAACGAATTTTAATCCTTGCTAACAAACTAACTCAAAAGTGATTACTATGAAAAAGCATAGCCTAAATATCCTTAACACTATACCCAGCAGAATTTCTCCTTGTCTCATGTATCTATTGCATTTGTCCACCACATGGCTGTATTTCACCAGTACAAAAACTAAGAATAAAAGGATGTGCACCCACCCACAGGTGCGGGACCTTCAGGCACTAATCGGCACAGACAAAAGACCCTACAAAGGGTGAGTAAGTGTACCTGGGTTGTACCCATTCACTGATTTCCTGTGTTCAAGGACTTTGGATCTCTCTGAAGTCAGGAGGTGCAGTAGCCCTCTCCTTGCCCAGCTTCCTCTTCATCCCAGGAGCAAACCGGCAGCAGCAATTCAACAAAATCAATACCAGGATGCAACAGCTTATCTCTGAGGGCTACTACTGAGTACCTGTCTCCCTGTTTACGTTAGGAGGTAACAGGATGTTAAGTGGCCTGCATTACTGCTGTGAAATTCAGTTTTTAAACACCAAAGTAAGCACCAAAATTAGCTTCCAAATTAGAAAGATGCAATTCAGTCTTTTACAACCATGGGCATGCTGTTTTCTACAAACTTACAGTCTTCTACTATTAGTTTTACAACTGTAAGTTCCTAAAAGACAGCGTTGCCCATTAGTACAAATCTACAGCTGTTACCAAACATCGCTTTTAGCCAAAAGCATAGTGATTTGTACCTCAGATAGATTATGGTGGGAAATACAAATCTGAAGTAGCTTATGGAATTGCAACAATTTCTCAAACACATGGTTATAGAACAGAGAAAAAGATTTAGAGTGACTCATGCAATTTATTTTTGTGTAATGATATAATAAATTAGGTAATATTTAAGATAAATGTTTGTGCCCTCAAAAAGATCCCAAACTTTTAAAGCCCTTCCTTTTTCACACTGCAACTTTTACCAAGCCAGCACAGCACAAACATCATGTGTGGCACTTGCACAGCCACAGCTACGGTTTAGCTCCCACACAAAGAAAGCAAAGCTGCCCAACAGCTTCCAGCCAGGATGCAGGAGACAAGTGAAAATAACAAACTGCGTATTTCTAACGTGACACATCAGCTGATTACACTGAGAAAACTAACAAGAAAAGTATTGTAACTGGGATGAACAAGCATACTGTGGTCAGGATAAAATGTGTGCCCACTTTTATCACAGTTAGGCTAAAGGGTGGAGTAATACCTTCCAGAGAGACAAGCAGAAGCAAAAAATCAAGTTTTTTCAGTGTGTTCCAAGAACTATGTGGTCCAAAACACCACACCAAAGTCTCACCAAGCTCTTAAACTCTCACCCTGTTTACCTAAGTCTTTAACTGATTCTTCACTAACTCATGAGCCCAAAAATCCAGAGGAAAGTAGGGTAAGAGGAAAAGACTTGTATCTTTCATGGTTGCTTCACATACTTCCATTCTGGGCACAAATCAAGCATCAAAGATTGAAATTCAATCTGTAAAGGTTTCATTTATGCCTAAAGCAAACATCAGGTACTTTGCTACCATGGTGATGAACACAGTAAAAACACCTTAATCGTTCCTGATTCTGCAAGTATATAGCAAGGCTTGGTGCAACACTTAAAGATACTCTGGCAACAGACACATATTGGGAGTTCACACTTGAGAAAAAGGTTTATTGAGTATTGCAGTTGTGCAAAAAAATGAAATGAAAAACCAGTAAATGAACAGAGAACTTGCCTTGTGGGTATTATCCATATACACTGCTCTGGTCCTGAGCAGAATTTATACGATGAGTTGCCTGATCAAGGGTTCCCAACATCACAGCCATAAAACTATTCTGGAAACCTGCGTGACTAGTATATGTTTGCTAACATCAAGAGAGGAATACTCAGCTTCAGAAAACGGAGCACGTTGTATCAATTTTTTTTTATTTTAAATAACAAAGTTTCATGTTTAAGCTCAATACCCCTATGCTCCCTTTACAAAACCAGTTAGAAAATTTTTTTTTATAAAACTAAAGCTAAAGGCAGATTAATTTTTTCTTGTCTGACATATTTATATTACAATATATATACTGAATTTGAAGATACAAAGAATTTTCAAGGCTGTTTCAGACTCTCAGGCTGATTTTGACTTTTTGGAACTAATCCCACCACCTTCAGCTGCTTTCTCTGCTGGCCTCTTTTTTAACCCTTTCACTTTCCGTGTCTGCAGTTTACCAAGATCTTGCTTCTGCATGTGGATTCGACCGTAAGTTGTACCGAACACATCGTGGGAGATATTCTTTTTCTTCTTAGGCTGTAAGGGATGAACAACATTAGTATTTCTCAGTAGAAAGCACCAGGAGCTCTGGTGAGAATCAAGTGCCAAAAAAGCAAGGCTGCATACATTCTTTGGAGCTTAGAGATTAAGATTTGCTCTGTATGTTCTATCCATTTCCAGAGAAGAGTTTGTGTGCCAGCGGATCACCACAAAACTGTTGTGGCCCCAAAAATCTCAGCCGGCCTACATAAAAGTAAGCTTTGGCCAAATGTGCAGTAATTACTACTTCAGTTTTTGATCTTCTTCATAGATAGATCTGGAAATAATATACTCTCCTCGGCACGTACCTTCAGGGCTTTTGGTTGTTTTAAAGACCGCTTATAAAGGTCATCTGAAGCTAAATGCGTCCTCCTCATAACCAGATCTAATGAAGGCCCAATCTCTTCCAGTTCAATTCGTGGTATTTTACAGCCAGATTTCTTCAGAAGCACCCTAGAGGGAAAAAACAACCAAAATCAACATCGTCCTCTGTGATAAAGATTTATCTGTCTTTGTAAAGGGGCAGGTTCAATCCTGTAGTTTGGAGGACTATTTAAAATAATTGCTACCACCAACTCTATTATTGAGAAAGATGTCTGTCAATCTAAAATACACTAAACGTGTCACATCACAATTTGGACACACCCAAAACACAACCTGGCTAACGTAACTTTTGTTTTAATAAAACGAGACTGGTATTATCAGCATTAGTGTTAAAACTCAGTTCAAGTACCTTGAAGGCTGTATCATTCTTCAAATTCAAATCAGTGCCCTGGGTATCAACAGACATGAAAAACATTTACTATCATTTCCAGCAAAAAAACCTGATCACTAACCAAGAAAGTTTTTTGTTTCTTTTGGAGAATGAGACTGATAAAAGCAATCTTGTTATAAGAGAAATCAAAATGGCATGAAATACAAACTATGAATGCTCATGGCCTCCTAAGGCAAGGCCATGAACCGTGAAGGCGAACACCAAGGCAGCGAGAAAGATCATCTCGTCCTGCCTTTCCCTGATTTCCCTTGTGTATCCCTGGCTGCAGCCCACCTCCCACCATCCCCTCATGAATGCCCAAGTAAGGAGAATCCTAGAAATCAGCCTGAGAGCAGAGTAAGCCTATGAATTTTAAGACAGCACTCCCAATTCCCCATGTTAACTCACATCACCTTATTAATCCAGCCCCGTGACAGAGCCATCTTCCCTTCTAGGAGAGGGAGCGCCACAAGGAAAGCAGCAGCAGGTTTAGGGCTTAAGCATTTTCCTTCTGCTGTACAAGTTACTCTGTGTTATACTGAAACACCTCTCTTCACTGCACGTCTTAAAAGCAGCAGAAGACTGAGTCAGTTCAGTTACGCAGCTACAGGATAAATTTGGGGCAAAATTTACAAGTGCACCAAAGAGCGAGCAAACAAACAGATAAAACACATACTCACTTATAACTTCGCATGTAAATTTTCCCATCTATAACTGTGAAATGCAGAACGTGCTCTAAACCAGCAAGACGAATATTTGGCACGCTAGGACCTCTGAAGAAATCTGAAAAAAACATTTTAAAAGAATAAATGACAGATTTCTTCACTGAAAAAAAAAAAAAATCAAACCAACAGATGACTGTAAGAAATTGGTGCATTTCATAATGGACCCACATCACATTGCTGATGTGAGCTCCTTGCCTATATAGATATTTTTACTGCCTCTAGCTAAGCAAGGCTGTACATAGGACAGCTCTAGAATAGCCAAATCTGTACATTTGATGTGAACGTCATGGAATAGCTGGTTGAACTTAAAACTGCAACCCTGCCAAAACACCGGAGAGAAAACGTAACATTGCACATGTAAGCTCCTGCATTGGTGAAACGAAATGTGTGTAGAAATCCTGACAGGAACACTGTGACTTTCCAGAGATAATTTCATAGAATCACAGAATGCGTTGGGTTGGGAAGAACCTTTAAAGGTCATCTAGTCCAACTCTCCTCCCGCAAGCAGGAACACTGTTCCAGTGTTTCACCACCCACACAGTGAAGACCTAATGCCTAATCTAAATCTACTCTGCTCTAGTTTAAAGCCATTGCCCCTTGTCCTATCGCTACACTCCCTTGTCAGCAGTCCCTCCCCAGCTTTCCTGTAGGCTCCCTTCAGGTACTGTAAGGTCTCCTCAGAGCCTTCTCTTCTCCAGGCTGAACAACCCCAACTCTCTCAGCCTGTCCTTACAGGGAAGGTGCTACAGCACTCTGAGTATTTTTGTGGCCCTCCTCTGGACCTGCTCCAACAGCTCTATGTCATTTTTGTGTTGAGGGCTCCAGAGCTGGACACAGTACTTCAGATGAGTTCTCCCCAGAGCAGAGTAGCAGGGCAGAATCCCCTCTCTCAATCTGCTGGCCACACTCCTTCTGACACAGCCCAGGATGCAACTGGCCCTCTGAGCAGTGAGTACGCAGCATTTGCTCACATCCAGCTTTTTCTCCACCAAGACCCCCAGGTCCTTCTCCTCAGGGCTGCTCCCTATCACATCACCCCCAGCCTGTACTGACAACAGGGACTGCTCTGACTCAGATGCAGAACCTTGTACTCAGCCTTGCTGAACCTCATGTTCACATGGGCCCACTTCTGCTTGTCCAGGTCCCACTGGAGGACATCTCATCTCTCTGGCATACCGACTGCACCGCTCAGCTTGGGGTCACCTGCAAACTTGCTCAGGGTGCACTCTACCCCACTGTCTCTATCACTGACGCCCTGAGGGACACCACTTGTCATCCAATTTGACAGCAATATACACCCTACCTAAGAATAAGTGCATGGAGAAGAGCACATACACTTTCAGAGTAGTAATTTAGCTTTATTAAGCTAATTGGAATGAGTGCACTGCATATACTTTTAAATACTCAGCTCTAAAATAAGAAAAATAGTTTGGGTATCTTAAAATTCTTAATCAGAGCCAGGTCTGGAAGTGTACTAAGAAGGATCAAAACTAGTACAAAACAAATCAAAATGGTATCTTGTCTACACTTACCTAAATTTTCTCTCTCTGACTTGGTGAAAAACTTTAGGTATATTGTTTCTTTCACGCAATCCCCCCACAACAAAGCATTTCTGTCCTTTAGGTCAGTATTGACAGTTACAATTAACGCCTTTTCTATTTAATACACGACACATCTACAAAACTAAAGACACTTGAAATACTTGATTAGTTGCAAATAAAACACCAAAATACACATTCGATACAAAACGAGCCCTCGCTAGTGAGGTTCCTATACCAGGCTATGTCAAAAACACACATGCGATCAGAGAGCTTGCAATAAGCACAGCAATCTGTCCAACATGTGCGGAGGGTGGAGAAAGAATGTGACCTTGACTGAGGGAACAAGGTGTGCTAATAAACATGACAGGGCAATGCCGAAACATAGAACTGCTAACAGATGCAAAACACATCATTTTTTTCCATTCTGTCCCATTTTCAGATCCCTCGGCTAGCTGTCCTTTCCTCCACTACCTTTTTCAAGAGTATCAGCACTGGAGTGACATCCAAAACAAAGTCTTGTTGGCAGGTATCAGCTGGAGTCTAGCCAGGAAAATTTCCTTAGTCAGTTAAATACTCTCTCCTCCTCTTGTAGGCTGAGCTTGTAGTTAGAGGAAAAGTTGCAAACAAAATATTTTTGTTCATGGCATATATTTTCCCTTCAACTAGTTCTCTGCGGGTACACAAGCTGACATTTACAGCGGTTTATTGGCACCATCTCCCTTTCCTATTTTCCTGTGGCATCATACATCTTTTTACCCACAGGATGATCTCTTCCAACAAATCCAGGTGGTCAGGAATTTCTGTTTCCTGGCAATGCTAAACAGCTGTGGAAACCTTACCCTGCAGTATACCCAGAGAGCTGAAGTTCTTTTAATGTACTCTTGCTTTGGTTGGACCAGAGACTTGCTTGCTCTTTTCTTTCCATTCCTAGTTCTTTCTTCCCCTTGTTCTCAACACATTTCCAGATCTTGTAATTTACTTTTCCCTGCAGAAAACTTCACAAGACTTTTCCATTTCCAGATTAAACTCCTAAATTATTTCAGAACATAAATCTACAGGCTTCTTTTTGTATCAAAATCTAGTAACACTGTAACCTATGTAGCTATGCTTAGCACTAGCAGAGTTCAAACTCTATCCCTGATATTTCCCAGCCATACCCTTTCTTGGCCAGAAGGAACCCACAAAACTTTTGAGACACTCAGAAAGGCCTGTGTGAGGAAGGCTGTATGAAGAACAAGCTGATGGTCAATTTAAAACTGCAGAGGTCTCCTGGAAATCAACATTTTAGAAAGTGTTTAAAAGCAAGTCACGTAGTGTCTAGCCATTTTTAGGATGAAATGGGCGTGCAGTAACAGAACTAGCAAGCAGGCAGTGTCGTAAGAGATGAAACATCTTATAAATACAAGCATAAAAAGTTATTAGAATTTCATGAAGTTCATTCCAAGGACTTGAATCATAAATTAATTCCTATACTACCACATTGGCAGGCAACAAAAACCAAAAGAGAAAGAATGGGATGTCTTTGTCTATGAGGTCTTTGAAGAAAAATGCAGCTGCCATTTATTTCTCCTAAATAACTTCTTCCACTTCAGTGGACTATAGGGTTTGGTTACCATGAAGACAATAATTCAGCCTTGCCTTTAATTTTACAAAGAAGCTACTGTAAGATGATATTCTAAACATGCATATACCCTTTTGGTACCACAAAAGCCAATGAAAGCTTGGTTGTTCACCAGCAGCGCTGGCATCGCATTGCTCTGGCAACAAGAAGCTGTTGGCTATCGAATATCCCCTCTGAGATCTCAATAACACTGCTACAGTAAAAAAATATTTGCTGTTGTTATACAGATATTTTTCTATCTTTCTTAGCAATAGAGCAGCAGAGTGCTTAAAAGCACTATTCTTGGCAGGTACAGAAAGACTCAGTTCCTCCCTATCAGTGAAGGCCAGTTTTGAAGCACATCAAATTATTACCCAAACAATTTTAATTGGGTAGTGATACCTTCAAGCCTTTGCACTCCTTAACCTTTTCCTTCATCTCGTTTTGCATCTAGGTATTTCACAGAAGTCAGCAGAACATTAAGACCTGGAGTACATTCAAGAAGAAAGACTGCAGTCAAATGTACTCAAATCGACATCCAAAGTCATTAAAGGCAAATAAATAGGAGAGGAGAAAGGCCAGACGAACATCAAAAGAAACAGGGCAGGAAAGACCCGTTAGTCATTTGGCCACTATCTAAAGATCCATGCCTGCCATTTAAGGTATCAAGTTGTTGGATCACGGGATGATGAGCACATCTGGATGTCGATCATCAACATCGTGCAGATGCCTGAACAAGACACAGGCTTCAGAAAATAAAGCACCTGCTTCCAGGAACGCAGTTACTCATTTAGAGTGACACAAACCCGCAGTAACAAAACTCACTTATCTTTGTATTCAATATTCACCCACCTTCCACGGTTTATGAGCACAGTTACCAGCATTTCATCTATCCCCAAGAATCAGTCAGCTGTACTGAGAAGATGCAAATTTTCTCCTCTCCTGCTCCATTTTCAGTATCATTACAGATGAAATATCTCTGGTTTAAGGACTTAAAATACCAAGGGTGGAAAAAAAAAAAAATCTCATTTTTAAGATCTGTTTCTGCAGAGCAAACATTTATCTGCTTGCCTAGGGAAAAAAAAAAAAAAAAGAGCCCAACCGATATTTACTTTACACAAAAGAAAGATCTCGCAAAGCTGTAAGATTACGCACTGGTACAATCCAAGAACTGAACTGAAAAAACAAGACTATTGGGCTAGTTTCAGTATTTTATCAGAGCTTTAAAAAACGTAATCTACTTTCAGGAAACCCTTTAAAAAGAAAAAGCACACCACCCTACTTAATAGATCTAGTTCTACAAAGATGCATTTTTTTAAGCATCAAGAGATATAATACTATGACTTCTCTGTCCCAAAAAGCTATGTTAAGAAAAAGTATAAACATTTTTTGTAGTTCTGCAGAAAAAAACAACCACCGTGATGTGCTTTATCTTCTAGAGTCTCCAACCCTGAGACAGAAAACAACTTTGTTTACAAAGCTCCAAGCCTGCCTTGAAGTTATAACATAGACATTTTCTACAGTCGATTTTTACTGCACATGTTCTTTCCAAGTGCTCTAATCAACAGCACTTTTGTTAGAATTGGTCAAGTTTCCAACAGAAAATACTTTCATCATAAAAACACAGGTTCTATTATACCAATGTGACCTTTTTGCGAGTAAAAATATCCCACTTTCTGAATTTAATCTGCTGGCTTCAAATTAGATATACCTCAGAAATACTATTTAGTTAGAAGTACATTTGCAAGGTAAAAAAACCTTTTGGAAAATGTCAGAATTTTCTCCACATTCGAAGAAACAAAATTCAGTAAACGGTTTTAAATTCAGAGTCCTTTAGGCTAGTCTTTTCTCCTCTCTCCCAACAGTCCTGATGATTAGTTAGCTTCAATTTCATGTGAGATGAAACTTTGCAAGTACCTGTTCTTGTTGTCTTCCTGTGCTGAATATAAACAAACATTTATTGACAAACCAGTCTCTCCCAACTGAGCCTATTACTACAGATTTATGCAATCCTCCTGCTCAGATAATCAAAACACTGACCAATAAGAAGGCTCTTCAGTCTTCTGTATTCTTCATTTACATCAAACATGTCACCAGCGAATATCAGCATAGGTTTTGTTCCTTCAGGACATTTACTGTTCTGCAGAATAAAAATTTTAAAACAAGACAAAAATTAAGACCGTGTTAGGAAACTTATTACTGACTTAATAGGTGGTTACCCACTCAACAATGAATGAAAAAATTGTGACCTGTGATCAATAGGGACAGAACAGACATTTTTTTCTCACTGAGCAACACTTCCATGTGTTGGGAAGGAATTTGTTTTTAAAAGTGTGAATTGTATTATTCCTCGTTCTGGATTTTAAAAAAAAAGAAAAAAAGAAGATTCTTTACTGCAAAATGTATAAAATAACACCTTCTGGTGAAAAACAAGTGAATTTGCAACTGCCAACAAGAAAATCAAAATTAGAGGCAAATGAGTCTATTGTACTTTTGACACTGGAGGGTAAATGAAAAAGGCCAAAAGAATAGTTTAGTCAACGACCTAATTTTAATTCTGGCCAACAAATACTTACTTAACTACAACTTCTCTGCTACAAACAGTGTTACGAAGATATACACTACAATCTGACTTGAAGAGGAGGATTCACCTTTATAAACGGTATTTTCTTTGCTATCTCTCTAGAGTCTCTTGCCAATTTATACACTGTAATGGGAATAATGATCACAAAAAAAAATAATTATTTTTGCAGTGCATGAAGAGCTTGATACAAAGGTACATACATATGAAATATGTTCTCATTTTGCCAAAATGAGCCTAATGTAGCCATAAAAGGTACATTTTCCTTGGTTTTAAATAATCCAGATGTTAGCTCCTATCTGACTTAAGTATAGTTCCCTGAAAAAATGGCTTTTATGTGCTACTGAAAGCTAAAAAAAAAGAAAGAATTTGCAAGGAAAATTGTAAGCTTGCTCAAAAGAGCTAAAATAAAAATAAAAAGCAGAGCATAAAAATAACATTCTGGGGTACACAAATTAGCAATCCTCATATACTGCATGAAACGCATTTTTAAACAACTCTCGCCCCTACTTCAAAGCACAGAAAAGCCAATGCACACAGGGGAAAATTCACCAGCAGATGTCACTGAAATACCGAATTAGTGATTCCTTACCTTGACGTCTTTTAGGGATACAAACTTCTCAACGCCCAGCTCAATCATGTCTAAGACGTGATAGTCAAACATGCGACCTGTGAATGCAGAAAAAAAATCCAGTTATTTAGATCATCATTGAAAACCAGGGGGTTTATTTGGATGAAAGGTCAAGTGGGACATATTACCTATTACCAGGTTGTTGGGTCGCTTCTTATTATGAGAGCCAAACAGAAACAAAGAACAGTCCGATTTCTTGGAAAAAAATTCCTAGAAGTGAGGAAAAGAACAAAACTCATGAGTTCCCGTCCGTAGTTTAAAATATTTGGTGAAGGTATACATTGCAAACATGCGAGCTTAGGAGCTGCTTAATACAAGAGTAACTGCAGTTACCAGAAGAGCATTGAGTTTTGTACCTAACACAATAAAAATGCTTTAACTTGACTGTCCAATAAAACTTCAGCAAGCCCTCTAGCACTCACTATTGGCTGCCTTTACTTTTTAAAAAAGGATCCTTAATGATTATCAAGGATCCTTAGCTATCTCTCCCCTCCTTTCCTATTTACAGAAATTCATTAGATAGGTTTCTCCTTTATTTTCACAATCCCTTTCAGACAAGTAAGTATATTTGTACACTGTGTATACATGAATTTATTTTTTTCTTCATATGCATATTTACTTAATATAAAATCCCCAAATTCCCAACCTCAGTGTGCATTTTCAGTGAGTTATTCCAACCACTGCCTCACACGTTGGAAAGCTGATCCTTATTTCTCTGCCTGAGACAGCAGTGGCACAGAGCAAACACTACCAAATCATCATCGCTGGGAAACAAACAACTTACTTTGGGATAACAAATTTCTGTCCTTATTGTAAAACCACAGCTGTACATCAGTATCTCCTTTCTCTCATTTTATTGAAAGAAATACATACCGCCACTTACATACTGCTAAAATGACAGACATATTTCAGCAGTTAAAGTAATGCCTTGACTGAAGTGCAACTGTGTGAGATATAATCTTAGGATCAGCCCCTCTATTTTTTGCCTGTCTGCTCATGAATTACCTTGACCTTAAAGCACTGAATCAACACCAAATCCAGGCAGGGACATATCACCAAATGTATTTCCAAACACACACTCCCTGTCAAAATACCCTCCAAGTCCCCGAAGAGCCACTTTTGCAACCTCTTTGAGGCCAAATGCATGTATTTAACGGAAATTGTGCACTTTTCTGACAGTTCTTGACTGAATGCTGGAACTGAACTCTCAGGAACAATCTCACATATCTGATTCATGCAATACTCTGCTGGGCTTTTCTTCCTCTTTTCCAACACAAGGAAACCACAGAAAGCTACGACTCCTCCATTTAACCATGTCAACCTATGAATTCACCAAACTTAAAACAAGTCGTGCAGAAGCTACAGCACTTTAGAGGACTGACTTTTATAAATCCAAAATAAAATGCTTTGCTCTTCCTACAGTCAGTGCTACACACTCCTAAATTTGCCTGTCAGTTTATAGAAACATACATTTACAGTAAAAAAAAAGTGCACACAACATGACAATTCTGTCTTGCAGTAAGAGTAAAATATGCCTCCTGACACCATAAATCTAGAAATTAGCCCTACCTTCAACTTATCCAAATTCCCTATAAGTTTTGTTTTTTACCTAGTTCCTCAAAAAGTAACAGCAAATTATCCCCCAGTAAAGTTCTTTGTGATTTTAGGGCTGTAAAACATCGTAAGAGAAGACGTGGCTCACACTTACCAATGATGTCTGATCCTCAAAAGGCCTGGTGATATTTTTCCTGAGATCAGGAAAAAAAAAAGGAGGGGAAAAAAAAAGTTTTAAAGAAAAAAATCACAAAAAAACCACCCCACACCAGAAAAACATGTTCAGATAAGAACTTTTAATTAGTTCTCTGATAACATTAAAATTCTGCATTCTACTGGAAACTCCAGCAGTGGAGGTTCAGCTTTAGTTCAAACCATAAGCCCGACGAATATTGCCAGGAGTGCCCTAGTGCCTCCATCGTCATTTTAAGTACTCTGCTCCACTTCCCCATCTCCTGGGACCTGATTTCCAGACTACCACCAGTGACACTTCGTAAACAACTGTCTCTGCCTGCTCATCCAACGTTAAATTTAGCTACTAAACCTCAATTCTCTGCACTACATCCATATAAATACTGGGTTCCCATTTTGAGCAAGACTTACCTATCGTTACAGTCTGTAACTCAAATGTGTAAGGATTTGGATGTTAGAACTCCAGCCCTCCCACCTGACACAGAACCTGACCAGCAGTTTGCACAGATCAGGCAGAAAAGGCAACTGCTGTTCAAGCCTGCTGAATCTTTCTCCATAACACTCAACACAGAACCGGGCTCAGTGCCAACACTAATTACGTGCAGCTTCTTTCCAGTCTACTGAAATTTATGAGGAATCTCAGTCACCCTCTGCAACCCTTTCCACTGTTCAAGCCCCCACGCTAGCCAGCATCTCTATTCATGCTCTGAAACTACCAAAAACTGAACTCTCGGAAGACCAAAAGATGTCAAAGCGAGACCACTTACTTTTTATATAGGACAGCAAAAGGCTTCTTCACAGCATACTGCAAAAGACCACGTTAAACACATTAATACGTTGAGATGAGCAGCACTGCTTTTCCTAAAACCCTGCAGCTTACACGATCATATGAAATAAGAGTAATTGTTTGTGCAAATCAGTCTAGTATCCCGCAGGCCTGGTCACATTAATCCACTTCAAGCTGGTAGCAATTTTGGTTCCAAATTAATTGCAGAAGGACTTATTTCCAGAGGCTAAGAAATAATAAAATAACCAAGTAACAGCTGAAATGAAAGCCAGTTAATGAAATCTCTCTGCTTCCAAGGGCATAAAGTAAAACTGGGAGCGAAAAATAACCTGATTAACATCAGCATAAGATGGTAAGAAAAGGGCAAAGCAAGGAGAGAAAAGAGTGTAGGAACAGCTAATAATATTTTCAGGTATGGAGTTAGGAGTCACAATTGCTAAGTTTTGAACAGGTTGCCCAGAGAGGTGGTGGAGGCCTCATCGCTGGAGACATTCAAGGTCAGGCTTGATGGGGCTCTGCGCAACCTGGCCTAGTTAAAGATGTTCCTGCTCACTGCAGGGGGGTTGGACTCACCGACCTTTAAAGGTCCCTTCCAATCCAACGCATTCTATTATTCTAAGTTCCACACTGAAAGTGCCACATCAACAAACGCAAGCAGTTTACTGGATTCTGGGATATGACTTCAGCTGTGTCATCCAGTCTGGTTCCATACCTAATTATTTCGTCTTCAAATGGACTTGCAACACTTATATACTGGATTACCATGGAAAAGATAATAATGAATAAGCTCAGAACATTTGGCAAAGAAAAAACAGGAAAAAAACAATCTCCACTGAGGAGCAAGTAATGACACATCTGGAACAACAGTCCAGCTGAAATTTGGGGAACAGTGAGCGTATGATCTCGTAGCAGACAATATGCAAGCTGTAAGAAAAAGGAAGGTACTCTTGGTGTGGCACAAAAGGTTGTACAATTAAAGGTTGCACACATATGTCCAACAACTTACAATGTCCTTAAGCACTTCAGTCACTGTTAAGTTTGCATTTCCTCCTCTTATCAGCATAGCAGTTTTTGTATTTTCTTTAAGTTTGGGTTCTCTCTTCTCAAGAAACCTTTTTGCTCTCTTAGTTTTAGGCTTTCTGTAACAATAAATCAGCAGTTAGAAATTAATAGTAGTAACAGCAGCCTGCACTGCAGAAAACAGTAAAACAAGAACCAGAACCATCCATGTTCACGTTACTCAGACTAATTCCAACCTGCAGAATTACAATTGATGCTAAAAGCCCAGTCTCGGGCACATATTTTTTACTGCCATTCCTCTTCCTCTCTGTCCCCTCTATGCTAGCAAAAATGATTTTACAGTCCCGGGCTTTTCTGTCTCTCCTAATTTAGAATTTAAGCTATACAACTCCCATTGACTACAGACTAGCCGAAAACTTCCTTTGCACCAGCTCGGTCCTCAAGTCAGAGACTTGCATATCAGAAGAAAGCAAAGCTCCCCAAAGACCATCAACAGCATGAGAAAGAAAAGCTCAAGGAAAAACATGTGTTGGCACGAACCAGAGGGCAGACCCGTGCCTTACTCAGGTGAATATATCAGCCTTAGCAGGGGCCTGCAGCTTATACAAATCCCTATCTGCCTTAAGAACTACACTAGTCCACTAGATGTACGTAAAACTTTTAATACCTTCTCCACGAAGCATTATATTTATTTTCTTTCAGCAAACAAACAAACAAAGAACGCCACACGTGTACTTCCAGCTAAGGATGAAGGTAGCTCATCTAAGTGTACAGAAATACGTAAACCCAACTCCACTCGTTACCCACCCGC